CACCACTGCAGTTCCCTCTCCTGGCCCCTCTCATGGAGTGGAGAGGTGTCTTTATGCTCCTCCTGTCACGGATGTGCACAAACATTTACACTTTTGCCACCGTGTTTATCAACAAGTGACCCAGTCTGTGCGGGTACCTGGTTGTTCCTGTGTGGCAAGGGCTGCTTTACTGCCTGGTACGTCAGAGTAGGTCTGCCCCTCTCCTGCTGCTTTGCTGACGGCTTCCGTGTCCTCTCCGGGCCTGTTCTTGGTGGGAGAAGGGCCATCCTTAACCCCGTCTGTGTCCTCTCCTTGCTGAAGGTGATGCACCTATGCTTGGGGCATCCCCATCTGTAGCCACACAGCAGGTCACACAGAAGTACCCACAGGCACTGAAGCAGAGATGTGATTTTTTTTTTTCCTAGACACCCTGGATAACTTTTGTACAAACTGGGGGGAGGGAGGGTGTCAGGTGTTCTTTCCGCTCTTCTCTGTACGTGGTTGTTTCAGTAGTAGTGTGGGAGACGGGTACAGGACCGACGAGAATAAATCCACGCCAGCCAGGGAAGAAGTCCCCAGCTTGTTGGCACAAGGAGCCCAGTGAGGCGTTAAATAAAAGCGTCTTCTTCCACACAGAGCAGTGAGAAGAAGGTGGCAGCAGTAGTAAGGAGAACAAATGACTTTCGTTAAGCATTTTCATGGTGGGGCGAAAGCCTCGAGTATCTGGTGTGTTGCTACGTTTAATGGAGCATCAGCTGCACCGTGTGTTTTGGTTGCCTGGTCCCTTCTTTCTGTAATTCCCATTTTAGGGTCTTAAAGATTTGACAAGTCAGCAAGAATTTGTACCCTCTCCACCCCCCACGCATTTAGAAAATCTGCCGTGTGCATCTCCTTCCTCGGGGAACACTCCGTTAGCACAGAAGGTCGGTTAGGGCTTGAGTTCTGCTGCATTTGGGAGTCCTGTGGTCAGAGCTGGGACAGGCCTGTGAAAGTCACTGAAGGGCCAGTACGCTCAAGTGACAGCATTCTCACAGACTTGTGAGACACCTCTGTTACAGCTGTGAAGTAAAACAGGGAAGGGCTTCCCCCCCCCCTTCAAATATATTAAAGCAATCCTAAACTGCGGGGTCTGATGGCCCTGAACTGTGTGACGCAGCCTCTCTTTAGTGGGTCTGTTCCAGCGGGCAGAGGAAAGGCGGTAGCTATTCACTCACAAAAGGGCATACAGAATTACTCTCACTTGTGTTGCTTATCCCCTTCCCAAAAGTGCCTCAATATCTGTCCTCGAGTGGCCTGTACCTTAACAGAGTATCTACCTTAGACCCGTTCTTTCTTCACTTTACCCTTGTCTGCAGCACACCCGAACGCTGAGATGCCAAAATAGCAAAGGACTGGATCGACAAAGGTGTGAAATGCTTAAGGACTTGCAGCAGGTAGCATGCTAAGTCAGGAGCCGTCAAGGACAAGGCTTTCAAGATAAGGTGCGACTTAAATTTCAGCTGTTGCTTAACTCCAGGCTCTGCTCACTTGGGCGCTGTGGCTGGGAGCTGGGCAAGGCCTGTCTTCAGCAAACATTCTAGAGCAGGCTGGGAGCAGAGACCGAGACCCAGCATCCCTCTGTGGCATAAACCCCACCTGCGGACACAGAGCCACGTCTGCCCGCTGCAGCCATGTGTTGGGCGAGGGCCTGGCGGGCTCCTGCCTCCCGCGGCCCTGGAGCTGCGGGAGAGCCAGGCTGTGGGGCTGCAGTTGGCACAGCAGGGCTGAGCTGCTCAGCTGGGGCGAAAGTGGAATGTTACTGGGCACTTGGAGGGGCAGCTTGAGAACTTCAGCTTCGGTTCTCGTCGGGCTAGGTCGCTGCTGAGTCGGGGTTCTCGGGGTGGCAACATGGCTGCTGAAAAACACTGATTTTTGACTTAGAGGTAAAATATGAGGTCTGGCCCCGTGGAACAAGCTAGACAAGAAAGCAACACTTCTGCAGCCTTCTGCCTATTCAGAGGTGACTCACGAAGCAGCTGCCTGCTCCAGGTACTTACCTGTCTGACCAGAAGCTCCTCGCACAGAGCCAGACGATGCAGTGGAAGCATGGTCTCTGTTTGGAATTGCACCTGGTTTTGGACACTGGTTTATCTTCTGGCTGGAGGTGAAGTGCCTGTTGCGGTGTTTGCAGTTGGTTGTTTCTTTCCTAACCTGCCTTGTAGAGGGCAAATCACTACTACAAGAATCCATCCTTGCTGTTGCTGAGGGCTTGATTTTTTTTTTTTTTTTTATCGTGGGTGGAGGGCTCTGTCTGGGCATCTGCAGCTCCAGGGATGCTTCTGTGCCGAGTGCTCTTGCATAAGGCAGGTTCCGTTGCCAGACTCCTGTTTCCTTCCTGTTCCTGCAGCTCTGATCACAGGCAGGCTAACACTTTGGACTGTATTTTTAAGCTAATCAACGCTTCCTAATGGTCACAAATGAAAAATTTACTTAGTACTAAACAAGCAAGGTTCTGAAGTTTGGTCTTTTTTCATTTTAATGAGAGCAGCAGACAAAATAATCTGAGGCCATAAGCCTTCCCTACATTTAATTTCTGCTACAGTGGTACGGCAGTACTAGTAAAGCCTAGTAAGGTAGATGTTGCTATTCTGGCAAAAAAAGACATAGAATTGCTTTTGGCAGCGTAGTCTCTCATTCAGTGAACCAGCGCAAGCTCACGCTACAGCATTTGAGGGTGTAATTGCTAGATTATTGAAATGGGGGGGGGAATGGAGGGGTGAGCACAGCCCCAGCTGCCATGCCTAGGTCTTCAGTAGAATGTCTCACTCCAGGCATGAGACATACTGAAGGGCAACTCATCCGTGTGCCTCTTCTCCAACAGGAGCAGCGCTACTCCAGTAGGTTACACAGCAGGAGAAAGCGTCCTAGCGAAACAGAGAGTGGTGAGGCACATTATCTCCTGTACCTGTTGAAGGCAGAAGCTGTGCATGACTCTGATTTGGCTTGGTCTGCTTAATTTCAGCACTAGGAAGGCGACAAGACCAGTACAGCTTTGACTCCATGGGTGTGCTTCAAAGTGCAAGCTCTGTATTGCTGTTAAAAGCTAAGGGGGGGGAGCAGATTTATAAGCTTTAAGCCACTGCTGCTTGATGGGGCCCTGTGGAGCCACTGGCGTCTGCTGAAGTGAGCCCTCCTGCCTCAGGTACTCTGGAACGAGAGCTGCGCCAGCGTGGCAGGGGTCAGCTGTAGCATTACCCATACACCCAGCAGAACCGCTACAGCGCTCTGCTCCACCTCCTCACGTTAAATAACTTTAGCAGTTTGTTTCCCCTCCTCGGAGCTGACCCTCTCTCGGTCTCTTAGGTAGGCTGACTTGCTTCCGCCTAGCTGGAGGTCCCTGGTTATGCTGTAGAAGCAGGGGAGCTGCAGTTAAGCTTCCAGGGGAAGCTGCTTTTGATCTCTTTGCAGTATCTGCAGGGGAGGGAAGGAACACCATGGACTGGGACAGAACGAGCTGCAGAGGATGCGACCTACTGCTGTACCTTCAGGGGGTCTCTCCCCATTTTAAACTCGGATTATAAGCTTTTATTCAAGCGTAAAGCTAAAACCCACTCAGACCAAAAGAAAGCCACTTGATTTGTTAAGTAGCAAAGACTAATGGGACTGACTGAAGCGTGCAGGTTATGGGCTGTCTAGGCTGCTTTCTGCTGGGTATAAGCAGACGGTGACAGAGTTGCAGGGATTTTGGATTCTGTTCTCGAGAGGCCTGCCTGGGGGAAGAGACCCTGACTGGCCCTCAAGTCACCCATTACCCAAGGAACTGGTCATATTGTTCCTTTTAATATGCAAGTGCAGCCCTCTTAGGGAAAACTGTCTAAAGCTTCTTGTGCCATTTGGTTCATAAAAGTGTTTCCACCTTTAGAAGAAAAGTTCTTTCCAGCTGCATTGTTCTAGATTCAGTTGAAGTGAAGGGGGATGTACATTTTCTTTTTCCCTCTGCTAATGGGACACTGCTGTAAGACCATGCCCCCAGGTTGCACTTTAATAAATGGTACAGTTTTCAAAAACAATGTGTAAACTACTTCTGTGCTTTTTTTTCCCCTCCCTGTTCTAGCATAGGCACAAAAACGAGAAAAAAAGAAAAAGGTGGTTTTAGTCTTGTGAGATTTGCATATGTAAGGTGCAAGGCCAGGACCAAGCATCTCTGTTGCTGCCAGCTGCATCGTAAGCAGTAGTAAATTAGGGGAAAGCCATGAGAACTTGCACAAAAAAAACTGACAACACTGAGAAAAAAAAAGAGAGCCAGGTGGAAATTAAAATTGTCATAACAGACAATTTTATTTAAGTTAAAAAAACAACAAAATATTTACATCATTTCAAAACTTCTGAGGCAGCTGGATCACAGGTGAAGCCTTTGCCACCTTGTGTGTGATTACAGGTACGCAGCAAACAACCTGAGTGCGAATTTGTTGAACCTGAGATGTGGTGGCAGTACACTCGTAAGAGATGCCAGGTATTCTTCCCCATCCAAGGCTGATGCCTTCTTTCTCTTCATAGCAAGATATCCTAAAGCTAAACGCTTTTCCTCAAGCATATCCAGGTTGTGTTCCCTGAAAGAATTTGTCCTGTACCTGCCCCTGCCCTCTTTATTACAGTTTCTCATTCAGCGTTATTTGTCGAGCAAGCACAGGTTTACGGTGATTGATTGATACTCGCGCATCTTTACTTCAGCCTTCCCTGGCCCAACGCCCCTGCCTCCTTTAGGGTCATTTCCTCGTGCTGCCAGCTCCCCTCTAAGACAGATCCCATTTCCCACCCCCCTTGGTGATCTGTGCTGATCAACTGCCCATTCTACAGCCTGAGGCCTTCCTGGGAACAGCAAACACTCCACATGGCTCAGCTGCAGCACGAGGAGCAGGGCTGGCAAGAGATTAACTACAGCGAAATGCTACAGCTGATGAGAAAGAAAAAAAATACTGAGAGGGCAGGTGCTGTGCCCACAGCATTTCCCTGGAGGCACAAACCAGGGTCTGCAAAGTCCACTACTGCTAAAAAGAGAAAAAAAGACAAAAATATTGTAAAATGAGAGCGGGCAAGCACTACTCCCTACAGGTACTGGCAGAGCTGGCACGCAGCTCACGCTACCATCATTGCTGTGCTACTCTACAAAAGCCTATCTACGAAGCTCTGCCTTCCCTTCCACAGCTGCATCTCAGAAGAGTGGAAAAAGTGATTTGAATACACAAAGAAAAGCAGGGCGTCTTCCCAAGCCCACGCTCTCCGTACAGAGGGCTGGCGAGCTCACCCACGCAGCTGGAGGGAGAGAAACAGAACCGGCATTAACAGCAGCCGCGACAGCCAGCC